TATCAGAATTCTTCGCTTGAAATCATTTGTTTTGACTACCTGAGTCAATATACAGCGCGCCCGTCCCTGCAACGACTGCAGTAATGATTGGTCGCTGTCTCCTCGCATTGTGAAAGTCCAGTTACGAATCAATGTTGAAACAACCTTCTGTTTTGATTTTTTGTAATTGTGAGACGTAGCGGGCGTTGTTGGATGTTCACGCTTGCATATACATACGTGATACATACGTGATACCGTGGTTAGCGTTGCATTGTTGGTTGCTTTCAAGTGAACTCCGCGTATTTTCAAAGGTTCGCCGCCTGCAATTCACACATTGGGGAGGCTGCATCATTGCGCCGGAAGAAACATCTGTTCATTTTCAGCGAACTTTGCCGTCGCTTTGCTGGTTCGTTCTATTTTTGTCGCTTCATTAGGGTGCCATTTTGATTCCAGCCGCTGAATCGAACTGGCACCTAATACATGAATTATAATAGTGAGATTCAGAGATGTGCGGCTTCCGTTCACGCTAGCGGCGTGTGTACGTTTATGTGTGCGCTAATTGCGATATCTCGTAGCGTGCCTGATGTCACATCCTGCTGGAAATTCGGCACCTCTCAAGCTGAGCCGCGTTCATGCAGCAGGGCGTATACACCTGTACAGTTGATATTCTCATAAAATTCGATTGCAAGAAAGACGCGAGAATAAAAAAGATTGGTATATCCGAGGTAAGTGGCAATCGATGATATGCGAAGCAAGAATAAAGACGGTTTCATTGTCACATTAAAATCATTACAACATTACGAGGTGGATGTAAATTGTTCTGTACATGACTTTGATATCATGATGATTATGTTTGCGCCAGGATTTCATGGTCGTCACCCATTCACGTCACGTAATACCAAGTTTGTATATGTAAAGCTAGTGAAACGGCCACGAGCGTGCTATGAGCGTAGCATGTAATGTTTTACGTGACACGCATGCATATCATGATTATCACGTTTGGACGTGTCATTTACCTTCGCCGCCCGTTCGGGCCACGTAATACCAAGTATGGTATATGTGAAGTGGGCAAAAAATCCGCGAGCGCACCATGAGCGTGGTATGTAGTCATGCTCTTATATGAAAGGAATTTCACGATTGTCATGTCTGCACCAGTCATACACCTTCGTCATTCATTGACGTCCCGTAACACCAAACTTAGTTATGTGAATGTATCTAAATGGGCGCTAGCGCACTATGAGCGTAGCATGTCATGTTTTACATGATACGCATGCGATGATTATTATGTTTGCACCAGTCTTATGCCTTTGTCATCCACTCACGTGGATGAGAAAGGCATAAGACGTAATACCAAATTTTCCATATGTGAAGCTGGCGAAACAACCACGAGTTCATCATAAGCGTGGCATGTAGGCATGTTCTTACATGACACGCATGTCATGATTTCTACGTGAGGACTTGTCACTGTTGTTTGTCATGAATTCATGTCATACCATACCAGTTTTGCAATATGCCACTTGAACGAAACCACCGCAGAAGCAGCAAGACCATGACATGTAAATCATGACAATATAACCCAGTATTCCATTATGGGTATATATCCCATTATCCCAATAGTCAGGTGAGCTAAAATCATGGGTGGGTAGGTAGCTAAATATGGTCAAACTCGCCGAAGTTCACTAAGAAATGCTCCGCATTTAAAAGCAAACGAAGTGAGCAGTTCAACTTGCTTCGCAGCGATTAAAGCTAAACTATAGCTGCCTCGCAGCTATAGGTGAGCGGGTGACGCTCCAGTGGCACGGAGGACACGACTCAAACCTTATAAGGCTTTTTAGTGCTATGGCCGTGTCCCACGTGTTTCTTTTTTGAACACCACGAAAGTTACGAAGCATTTCTTAGTGAACTGCGGTGACTTTGAGCGTATCTATCTATCTATCTATCTATCTATCTATCTATCTATCTATCTATCTATCTATCTATCTATCTATCTATCTATCTATCTATCTATCTATCTATCTATCTATCTATCTATCTATCTATCTATCTATCTATCTATCTATCTATCTATCTATCTATCTATCTATCTATCTATCTATCTATCTATCTATCTATCTATCTATCTATCTATCTATCTATCTATCTATCTATCTATCTATCTATCTATCTATCTATCTATCTATCTATCTATCTATCTATCTATCTATCTATCTATCTATCTATCTAATCTATCTATCTATCTATCTATCTATCTATCTATCTATCTATCTATCTATCTATCTATCTATCTATCTATGACTTTAGCTTTGCTGGCCGTTTTAATATTATTATCGATACCAAAATTGGTATGGCATAACAATACTGCATGGCGAGCATAAGTGAAAGATCCTAATGTGGAAATCATGACTTTACGCCACGCTCATGGTGCTCGAGGTCGTTTCGCTAGCTCCACATATGCCAAATTAGGTATCACGTGACTTGAATAGTCAACGAAGGTAAATGACACGTCCCAATACGATAATCATGACATGAAGGTCATGTGCGGCATAATTAACGTCAGCCTCATAATTTTGTGCTGATTATAAAGTTACGTGTCAACCTTCTTTTTTGGTGCTTCGCATATAATTGATTTCCAGTGTACGTGGAATCTGCCAATTTTTTTATTGCCAAGAACGTAGGACTTTTATTGTGTGCATGGCTTCATTTAGCACTGTATCTAGACCATTAGTTATATTTAACGCATAACAAAAAAAAGCTTACCTCGACCTATCGTACAAGATAATGTGGTGGGCTTCGGAAATGCATTTCTTGTTAAGTCAAGCGTTGTTGCCATCTGCTCCACAAGGCAAACGTGAATAAGTTTTCTGCTTTCATTACGTTTACTTTTCTAAGTGCCTGTATAGCTGGGACATACTTTTTTTCGAGTGGTGCATTGCGCTGTGGTGCAAGTGCCACGCGAGAGCCCTGCACGTGTATGGAAGCGAGCGGCAGCACGGCAGAAAAAATGAAACCATGCCACATACATCACCAGTTTCCATTTTTCCACCAGAGATGGCGCTGCGGGTTCAGAGTTACAGCACCACCAAGCTTTGCTTCTCAAGCTTGTACCCACGGCAGTTTAGTATAGATGACGTGCCTGTGGGGTACCGGTATCGAGGACGGTTTGCAACTTGCATTAGTGTCCCGTGCGCACGATTAGCTTACAAGTCTAGAAACTGCCGGTCTGGTTCGGCATACAGACGCTACGGTTAATAAAATGGGCGCTGCTTTGAATACAATTAGTGAAATTCTTGTTATCATTGCCGAATCTGTGGATGAGAGGATGCAGAAGTCCGGATGTGAATCTGTTGTCAGTGACACTGCTGAAGGTTGTATTGACACGAGCGTTTCTTATTTTTGCTCTTGCTTTATTTCGTTACCAGCCACATAAAGACTGGCAGCGACTGCGAGTGCAAATCGTGACTCAGTGTTTCAGAAGCTTCGCGATTGTAGTACATCGTGATGTCAAGATTACGTACACAACTCGAACGTTACGGATTCTACTGGATTTTAAGTGGCCGCTAGCGATAACGCTGGAATATTCAGTGGGACATGTATAAAAGCCAACGCGCGTCACCACTGGTCAGTTGATCGCTGGCCGACGCTCTGTTCGCCGCTATAAGTGCTAGTGTGTATTGCTGTGATCGAACATTACCCTTACCGGCAACAAGTTTGGCGAACTTAATAAATTCATCTTGGACCTGCAGCCTCCTACTTCGGCGTCACGACTTTATGACAATATAAACTTCAGTTTACGCCAGTTTCTGGCAATTACCCCCAATATCGCATGCAAAATGTTTATGTTCTCACACACACACAAAAAAAACATTTGACAGAGATCGCTTTAAGAGTTCTGTTTGCTTCTTCTTAAATATGAAGCTCTCGCTCCACGCTATTCGTGCTACCTTAGATTGTGAAAAAAGATGATAAAAATAAATGAGCAGTAGGTTTACCAGGACAAGAATTTAGTTTCATGCCCTATATACTGGAGGCTAGGTATTGAATCGAAATGATTACAAGAAAAAAGGGCAAGGCTGGTGAAGTTAGGTTCTCTACAGTGCTTTGAAAGTGATGACAACACGAACAATTTGATATAGTTGGTGCAGATACATTGTGAAAATTCAAGTGGCGCAAATGGAAGCCACCAGCAAAAAAGAAACAAAAAAACAAAATGATTCAATCTTAACACAAACACCAACTTTCAACCAAAATTTTTATTGAAAATATATGAGGGAAACAAGACGAATAAGAACACATTATCATGACGACGAATTTGTTGTTGTGTTAATGTGTTATCATGGAAACAAACTTGTTTTTATGATAATGCGTCCTGATAGTGCGTTTCCCGTCAAACATTTGGTTTGGAGACAGCCCTTGTGTTGTGTTAGTTTGTTCTTCCTTTTGCATACGTTTTTAGCGCTTATTGCATTTCCATTTCGATATATGTGAGCATTTTGCCTGCCTCGCTATATTTTAGTACCGTTGTTTGGAAGTGCATTTTTTTAAGCAGGACTTTGAAAATCTATATTCAGAAGACAAGGTTTTTTTGCCAACGTTATCATGTGAAAGGTAATTGGCCTTATTTTACTGCACGCCAAAAGGTGGTCGCTAATTGAAAAATAGGCGAACGCTCTTAGCCAACGTTCGGTAATTCTTAAATGCTCCGTATTCGTGGTATCCTGACTAGGGGTCAGTTTCGCATGTTTCAAACACTTTTATTTTTGTTTTGTTTCTCTAAGTGTGCTCCGCTCCCGCAATAGCAATGTACACATTTTTATTCAGCAAGTATTACCATGACGATCGCGTGGACGCCGAAGGCAGTTACGAGTGGATATAACTTTGCTAGAATAGCTTAATGGAGTATCACGGTGGTTTCATCGTATTTATACCGCAATACTCCGACCATCCTTTTCCACATTTCCAAATGCAAAGTCGATGTATCCCTTCTTTCGTGAAGCTTCCGGTCAAAATTGAGGCAAAGAGGCTGACAACACAGGTCTTGTTTTTATTTACACGAAAGAAATATAAATAAACTGCCAGCAGCACCAAACGTTCACTTGCATCACCAACCATCAACAGTACCAATAGCAGCAGTCACTCCATCTTCCATCAGTTTCAGTCTCACACTGGCTGCTCACAGAATCACGGGCCTTAATGAGTCACGCCGAAGGGACCAGCGGTTCAGCCAAACGCGAAGACGACGGTGCAGTATGAGGCCACGGTACCAAATTGGTGCACGGGACACACCTCTTGAAAAAGGCCTGCGCAGGTCTCTAGAGCGCCTCTTTTTGGTCACACGCTGGAAGCCCAGAAATAGTCGATTGTGGGATTTGAAGCATTAACACCTCAACAATTGGCCGGTAAGTATTCCTGAACGTTGGAACACGAACTCTAAAGCATACTTGCATTTCCTTGAGGTTTGTTAAAATAGCTGTTAAGTAGTGAAGATTGGGTAGTATTAATGGGCCAGGTTCGACGGCTGCATGAAAAATTGTACGTAGGAATATTGTGTAAATAATTTCAGGCTTTTCTTATCGGCTAATGCAATGCTGTACAGACATAAGCGCTGATAGACGTGCGTGGACGAGCCTGCGTCCAATCGTAAGTCCGTATACCCTAGGTGCCCATGCGCGTTCAAGTGCCTCTTCATGAAATTCGAGCATGCCATGGTCCACTTCTTTCTTAATCCCTGCAGAGTTCTCTACATATAGGAATTATGACTTACAGGGAAATCAGGTTGGATTTCAAACAGGTGGCCAGCGGAGGTTTCGCTAGCGGCCCGCGTTTTTACAGGACGTAATATTTTAATATTTCACTAAATGACAATTCGGTTACTGTCTCGCCTATTGCAATCAATAACGCTTTGTTCGGGTAAGCTGCAGAGATGGGGCTGATGTCAAACTTTTTTTTTTTTTGCGTGGGGCACTTTGTGCGGTTACTATGAGTTCACTTAGTGACCATATGGAGTTGACTTAGTTCCACGGTGACGTCACCGTCATTTTAGAGTTGACATCCAGATTTTGTGTAAATGTGGAAATCAATAGTTGCATGTCTTTTGATACCTCACGTTACATACCCTTGTCAAAGTGTCCATGTGAACAAGGAGAAGGCGTTCTTTGAAATGGCGACGTTAGGTGACATTCTGTTCAATATCTGCACACGCCACCACCCTCACCCGTCATTACTGTCTTCACTGTAACGACTCTTGTGGTACTAATTTTTGTGACTGCCGCCCACTATATAAAGAGAGTTTGAGGTCCCTTCCATAGATAATAATTAAGTAGAAATATAAACTGTGGGGTTTCGCGAGGCTGAACCACGACATAACCATAATGCACTCGGTAGGGGAGGACACCAGATTCATTCTGACACCCGTGACACCCAGAAAGGAGTGTCTTTGCATTTCGCCCTCATCACGACGAAAAGTCAACAGCGCTTGTAGTGAATGCTGGAGGCTAGTTTCAATGGCGGTGTGATTAAACATAGACAGATGCCGCGTAGTTGCTTACGCCAACTCATAGCTTCCTCCAGGCGCTGTCGCGAGCTCTCTGACGCTCATTGCTCTAGGAAATCATAACCCATCTCAATACGACTATCCGAACTTGCCAGCGCGTGACGCGAGCGTTAGCAGGAGGTGTATAGTTGCCAACCGGCGCCTGACTGGTCGGAAGAGTAACGGCGTGACTCCCACTCGACACAGTAAGCCAACGTGTCCGTTTCCTTGCCACGTTCATTAGCGCAGTCCAATCTTCTCGTAGATCCAGGTGACGTACGGAGACACACGCGTGAACACGGTCGGGTACTGCGCCGTGCCGCTGCAGGACACACCGAAGCTGTACATCCCTATTACGGTCCAGTGTTTTCCATCCTGCACCATCAGCGGACTGCCAGGGATGCCCTTCAACAAAGGAAAAGGTGAAACAGAATAACAAGTTAGCGCCAGTTTTTTCGGAGTTTACATATACGTTGTTAACAACACCGTAATGAAGTGCGCAAGGAAGCGAACAATGTATATACAGCTCGTACTACGCATAACCACTCGTATTGTAACGGGCAATGCTAACACAGCCGCGGTGCTACATGCACTTCGACAGTGGCGCGAATGTTATTGCGCCGATGTTTTCGCACACTGGTAGGTACGAGAGTGCAGTTTGCTTTCTTCGGTCTACGTTTTATTGCTAAAAATATATAGCCAAAAGTATAAGAGTTATGTTGCGATAGTGCATCGACAGGCTGTTATTTGGTAGCTGCTTCTGCACCGAAGTAGTCGTCCCGTGCACGTACAGTAGTGTTTCACCTGTGAATCTATACACAGATGAAATAGTACAGCACAGTGTACAGGACTAGCAGTTTCGTACAGAAGCCCAGCCCGACAACAATTTGTCGGCACGAGCGTAATGTGCGCACTGGCAGTGCAAGAATAACAATACACGCAGTGCAATTGTACCCGAAGCTTTCCGGTATCCATACATAGGGATGCAGAATAAAAAGTGATACGTGTGTGGGCTACGGCGATGGAGAGGTGGGAGAGAAGCACTAGGAAATGCACAAAATGAAAACCTTGGTTAGAAGAAAAGTAATGCAACGCCCCCGCAATACTTTGCTTGAATACTAAAAGCTTATCGCTTCCCTGCCACGCTGATTCCAACAGAAGCACTCAACAAAGAAGCAACTTGGATACTTTTCCATACACGAAACGCTTTCATGCCAGTGTCAATAGCTTTGTAAGAAATGACAGAAGCTTTGTAAGAGGGAAAGTTGTTGTACTGTAAAAACTAGCAGAAGACGTTATATTTATAAATATAAATATCCAGAGCTCCTAATATCGATTGTATGTCCCTGTTATGGGGCACAACTTGCCGGAAAGACAAGATTTCGTAACTTACTAATGTCGGTTTATTCATGTGATGTTTAAAGTCACACACACAAATAAAGTTCTTACAGCAAAAGAACGTCTGTGTAGTCTCAACTGTATAAAGAAGGGGGACAGTGCCAATAACTCACCACGCACTCGTCGCCAACGTTTGTGGTCAGCTGGGTGCAGATGAAATCTTCCTGGCTGATGCCTGCCGGGTACGGGGACAGATCGACGCCGGCGTAAGTGTTGTTGCAGCTGGACACGCTGATCACCTGATAGCGCTTCTCGCCCATCGAGCCTGGGTGGAAGTCTGCGATGGCAGACACAGAGAGATATTGTGGTGAGTGTAGACCATTTTGCTGTTTGCAAACACAGGTTGCGGACGGCTTCCCGATTAGTCAACCGACGTAGTCTACAAGCATTGACGAGGTAGAAAAGCCTTGGCAATCAGCCCGCATATTTTCAGCAACCGTCTCCCGTTGATTCGCCAAATATTTCAAATAAATATGTTTGTAAGTGAAACTCAATATTATAAAAGTAATCATGAACTTTAAGTACCTCCTTCTTCACTGAAAACGTGCGAAAGAATTATTCTTACTGTGGCGAAACTTAAAAACAAGCTTTCTGCTTCGGTATTAGTCTAGTAAATGCAGTGGCAAGAAGTTTCTTGTGGTAGAACACTTGCTGCTACTATAACCATCCTGATTGATTGATATGTAGGGTTTAATGTCCCAAAACCACCATATGATCTGAGAGACGCCGTATTTTTTGTGTTCATCATGGAAACGAGTAGTGCCACGCTGCAGCATTTTTTTCTCTTTTCACCGCTGGCTTGGCCGTGAATGTGGTTTTTGGAGGGGGGGGGGGGGAAGAGAGAGAGCAAAGTTTTTCCGACCAAACAGGCAAAACTCAAAATTATCGCTGTCTATTCCACCTTCTTTCTGAAAAAAAAACTCTTGTTCCTATTTCTCTCTTACGAACAGGGCTCGAACACCAGAAGCACCAACACTGGCCTGTGAACAGGACAGGGGAAAAAAGAACTCCTTGAATCCTGGTGAACTACTTGTGACGCCTCTATGAATCAGCTTCCATAACCTCCGACGTTTGCACGGACTATTAAGTTGGGTAAACTGGTTGACCGTCCCTTATTTACCTTTTAGTACCTTTAGTACCTTTAGTACTTTTTACTGCTAAGTTATTTTGTTACGCAGTGGTGAACTTTATTTTGTCATTTAGGCTGTTAGTTTTGAAGCAATACATTCTCATGCATTAGCTATACTTTGAAAAATAATCACTATTACAAGTAGCAAAACTGAGTGGGCAGTACTAAATAAAAAACAAAACAAAAACAGTGCCAACTTCTCTCGAAGATTACTTTGCAAAGCATCTGCCCCACCATGGCGGTCTTGCGGCTAAGATACTCGGCTGCTGACCCGCAGGTCGCGGGATTGAATCCTGGCTGCGGCGGCTGCATTTCCGATGGAGGCGGAAATGTTGTAGGTCCGTGTGCTCAGATCTGGTTGCACGTTAAAGAACCCCAGGTGGTCGAAATTTCCGTAGACCTCCACTACGGCGTCTCTCATAATCATATGGTGGTTTTGAGACGTTAAACCCCAAATATCATCATCATCATCCCTTTGCAAAGCAGAATGAAGGTGCGCTGTTTTTTTAGAGACAAGCCGCAAACATGCGAACTATAAGGGTCTAATTTGCTTGAAGTATGACGATGAGCGCCAACTGATTGCGCGTGTAATATCAGCAATATTATCTGATAAAATTCGGAACATATATGTGTAGAGGCATTCCCGATGTTATCTTCGAGAGTACCAAAATTCATTCATAATAGAGAAAAAATGCTTTCGAATGTTTAGCAAGAGCAGGGCTATTGATTTAGAAATATATGGGAAACTTTCGTCCATTTTGAATTTTGTTCACGTCACGGAGGTGTGTTTTGGTGGCGTACAAGCTGTCTGACACCGGAGTACATAGAATTCACTTCTTGATATTGAACGCTCGTCCTGTGTTCTTGTGTTTGTGTGGTCGGTTTACGAGGCTAGTTATTCTCGTGTACTCACACACTGTTCAGAATTGAACGAGCACCGTTGGCTTCAGTGTCCTCAGATTTTGGGCCACTCGCATGATTTACACATGAGATTGTGTAAATATTTTTTTTGTTTGAATATGCAGAAAGCAATCAGCTGAATTCTTGGGTCGTCGATGAAGCTGATGAATGGTCCTTCGCGGATGGTGAACAGTTGTTCTCAGTGGCCACGCTTTCTTCGTTTCACGTGCATCGTTTCAGAGCATTCTAGGCTTCATTTTGAAGCACTGCGCATCAAACTTGAGTGCTGTTGATTTCATGTGATTTGTATTTTTCGGTTTTATTTTTGGTGGCTTTTTGCGTGTTTGTTCTTTCTTGTCTTCTTTTGCCAAATGATGTGCAATAAACCAGAAATGACAGCTTATTTTGAATAACTCAAAGAATAAGAACTCAAGTGTTTTCTTGAATTTCATCTGCTAGAGCTCTGTGAAAAAAATACACAGTAACTCTGCTGTGCTTGCATCAGAACTGAGATATCCTTCATATAACCGATACGCGACACGATCAGCATAGAATAAAGATATGAGCAAATACATAAGAAACACTGATACATCTCACTAAAATTTTGCTCGAACAAAGTAAATATATTCGTAACATACTCCGGAAGTTCCCGGCGAAAGCTCCGGATAGCGGGAGTGAAAAACCCGTAACAATGCTCCGGAGGTTCCACGTAATTACTGCAGCCAGCCGGAGTGCAAGGCTGGTAAAGAATGCTCCATTGGCACCCCGAAAGTACTCCGGCTGGCCGGAGTGAAATATTAATGAGAAATGCTCCGGATGTGCCACGCAATCGCTCCGGTCAGCCGGAGTAAACACTTTGCTCCGAAGGTCCGGAGCAAAAATTACTCCGAATAGGGGGGTCACTACACTCTAAAAAATATCGAGTAAAAAGGATGTCTTTTTGTCCCACAACAGTAATCGTCATCAGGCGTGCGTGCGCTTCCTTTCTCGAAAACTCGGCGCTGGCCACTTTCCTATCCAGAACGCAATGTAACCCTGATAATGGGCATGTCCATCGTGACCGGAATGTACCGGGCGCGGGGCGATAGCGCAAGGATGGAACGCAATATAGATGACGATTATTGTTTTGGGACAAAAAGCCACCCTTTTTACGCGCTCTTTTTTAGAGTGTAGAGGACAAGCGTTTTACTCCGACCTCGGAGTAATTTTTTTGACACTGTACTTGCAGAGTATACAATCTTAAATAAAATAGTGAAAATGTAGTAACCGCAAACAAACAGCTAATGATTGCAGCGCTCAATAACTTTCTTGGACTGTTACTAATCGTTTACTAACGTTTTACTGCCTACGTTTTTTTACTACCAAATCTTTTTTTAAAGAACCCCCAAAATTATTATTCTTGTCTTTCTACGGCTTATGTACTAGGGCAAGCCATCAATTAAATAGTTCTGAGGCTATGTTAGAGAGTTTAGAATTTTCATGGCCGCTTCACATAATGTTCTCTTGCAAAAAATATATATAAGAAATATACATAGAGCATTATTTTTAATACGGTTGATTAAAAGTCTTGTGCTACGTGTCGATGCCCACTTAGTGAAATAAAAGGGTATATGACACTACAGGCTCGTATCTTTTTTTTAATTTAACCTGAAGCACAGGAGCTCACCGGTACCACGTATGCATCTCCTAGCCTATGGCTACAAATACTCTCGGAGTGTAGTATGAGGTGCTGTCGCATAGAGAACATGTTGTGTTTGCGCATGCTTCTCGTTCATGGCATTCTCTGCAACGTTACCCGAAGTTGTGCAGAAGAGTGAATTAATAAATTACCCCGATATTAATAATGGGTTATTACAAAATGACTTCACCCAAATGGGCTACTACCTTCGTTTATTACGACCTTCATTTTACTACCTATAGGCAGTAACGACTAGGGTAGTGACAGTTGCTAACTGCTGTTAATAATGACAAAGCTAGTAACAGTTGCCACAGAGCTGTTACTAACTGCACTTATAACATTGTTGTACGATAAGTGACAAGCACTGACTACTCCAAAGTTAGCATGTATTACAGCTTTTTTTAAATGCGATAACAATTATATGGTCACTCTTGGCTGGATTTTGCCGCCGCTGGCGTCGGCGTCACTCACCGTATATGTATACGCATCGATATATATAGGAAAACACAAGAAAAATAATCTAGAAAAGGCCTCTGGCGTGCGGAATCCAACGTCGGACCTCCGACTTGTGAGATCGAGGCGTTAGTCACTGAGCCACGAAGGAGCACCTCCTTCAACGTTCAAACGGCAAGCCAATTATGTCTACGGCTCACCGCTGGTGATGGGCATCTCGGGAGGAACTATCGTGTTTTCAGCATTACCAGCAAGATCGCGCAATGAGCGCGCGTCGCCACATCGTCACGACGCGGCGGCGAGTGCTGTCATCTCCCACGCGTACTTTGCCCCGCGGAGAGAGGGCAGGGTGCATGCTCACGCGTGCGCTTGATTATCTCTCGGTAGGGACAATCGTACGCTTTGGCTGGCCTTCGGCTTTCACCGGAAGACTTCTGTAATTATTAACGGGCGCACAAAGGTCCCTGCAATTGTCGCATCTTCTCCGTTTGCGAAAAGGGTGCGCTTTTCAGACCCAGCGAATTAACAACTAAGACGCTTATTCGCGTTCATCTGTACCTGTGAGCAGGTTTCGAGCGTCATTTTTGCGCGGGAAACGCGGGGCACGTTTTGATCTGCTTGCCATTTGGCGCGTGACCTTTCAATTTGTTGCTTTGGCATTCTTCGCTTCGCTATTGCGACACAGCTGTGACTTTATTCAAGTGTGTACGAGCAAGTCCATCAATGATGTTGCGTGCAGTAACCTTTATGCGCTTCTTCATATGCAAAGAACGTTTTGTACAGACATACGCGCTGATAGAAGTGCGTGGACGAGCCTGCGTCCAATCGTAATAAATATAAACATGGTTTCTGACACAACACTTTTGACTTCATGTGTCATGGCTGTACTGTATGTAAAATATACTGTAGAAAATGGTGTTTATATCCAAAAAACATTTTTGTTTTCTATTATTTATTCTACTTTTATTATTGCTGCGTCGGACAAAAATATGAATATAGCGACATTTGTACACCTTTTAAATATAAATGAGACGGTATGGCAAACACCAGTAATAGAATTACCAGTGCACACTTTTTTGTGTGTGCACATTTTGCGCTTTCATACGTGCTCCTGCTCATCAATAGATGTTTTACCTGCATGTTGACAAAAGTCTGCCTTTTGTGTTATGGAACCCTGTCCTCACGAGCCAGTCAATTGCTCTTGAAAATTGCTGCTGTTGCCTCCAATATTTCTCTGCACATTTATTTTCGTTGTTGCGCTTTCTCACTCTCGTATATACACTTTTTCACTCTATGAGACGTATGACACACGAATAAATTCAGACAAGAGGCTTGACTGTAAATTTTAAGAAAAAAAGTATAAAATTTTTCCACGAACCAGAAAAAGTAATTGCAGTGGTTTTCTTCTATAAAAATACTTCCTCATCATTTGTCTTCCTCATGTACTGTTATTACTATCACAGACCAACATGCGCCTATTCTCATACAAGCCACTCCCGGGTAGGAAGTGATTGTGCGATGTTGGCAAAGGTTTCTGAGAGACGAAGGAGGGAGCTGGAGTCTGCAGCAGGGTCTGACAGCTCGCATCAGACGACTGATACAAAAAGGAGGTTATGTGAATAGCAACTTTTTCGCATATAGCTCCTCCAAGATGGTAGAAATAATTACACCTGATCTGTGCTCTTACCCCTCTGTCGGTTGGACCAGCTGACGGCGTCGAGAATGCTGCCGTTAAGCTCCCTCCTGGCGTTAAGTACCTTGGGCAGACAGATAGGCACTAGTTGTCCTGGACCGAGTGCAGGTTCGAACCGCACCACGGACAGGTCGTGGTAGCCGTCCGGGACACGGAAGTGCGGGTGCGCCTCGGCACTCACCACTCGTCGGAGTGTGATCGGCGCGTTCGGAATGTTCAGCATCACGGCGCTGTTGCTCCTGCAATCAACAATACGCCATGAATGAAAAATTCATGGCCTCACAATCACGCCATGTCCTTGTTTATAATGAACGATGTGGTTCTACATTCCAACGTGTCCTTTTTTCTTGAACTTTTGTAATTTGCAAGTAGACCGTGTCAGCACTGATGGACTGACTTTTGTGTGTAAAGAGCAACCTCTTCAGATTTCGTTTGGCTCGATATTGGATATGGTGTAGTTGACTAGCTCTCAGATCTTGGTCTCATATGTGCAGTTGAAACCAACGATTACTTGGATTCTTTGGTTGAGCTTACAAATAGCTGAGCTTACGCATTAAGTTAGCGCTGATCAGTGCATATGTGAATGCTGAATAATGACATCGGAGCGAGTACGGATTTGTGCTTGCAGCATAATTAAAAATAAACAAATGTTGATTGTGGGGCGACAAGCGGTTTAGTTTAGCAGCGCTTAAAGTAATACATATAGCGTAATACAAGGCACGGCACAAGCACTTGTACCGTGTATGAGCTTCTTTAGCATAGTGTTCCTGCTTACGCTCAGTGATATGCTCATTAAAGACCAACTGGGACTCGGAAAGTTTTTGTAAGCTTGTAAAAACACAGGGAATGTGCGTCATACAGTAATGTTAGAAACAAAGCGTCAGCTGGTGGCACATTGACAGCAAAGAAGACATGCAAAACCAGACATTTTTTTGCACACCGTTTGCGCCTCAGCTGATGAGAATCGTAGGAAATGTGTACACCCAAAACTTTCAGGGTAATTAACATAAATCAATTTATTTGTTGCGCATAAGCGCACCTTGTTGTGCTTCTTGGTTGAAATCAAGTATAAATATTACGATATCGATCTCTGGTAGAACTGCACAAATCCAGCTTGTTCTCATGCGAGGAAGTTGGCCAAGCCATGCAGCCGCCACACTTTTCCCTTCTCCTTTTTCTGCCTTGTCCACACCTTGTGTCACATCAGTGAGAATTCTCCACTTACCCATTTTCAGGTCCAAAGCATTGAGCAGCTGTCAGTACATGCTGCTGGTCGAGCAACACGCCGGCACACCGTCTCGCGGGGTTCACTTGGTCCACCACAGAAGCCTACGTATAGGAAAACATGTGTGGCAGCTGCTTCACACACTCGAACACCATTGAAAGTTTCCCATTCGAAAAGGGTGCATATGAACAAATACGAATCTTTAACGGTAGTGGTAGCGAACCAAACTGTCAGCTGTAAATTCTTCAGCAAAAGAAGCCGCCTAAAGCACAGCAAATGAATGGCAGCATTTCGCAGTGCTCAAGATGGCTGCTCCGCGGACATGCTGGCAAAAATAATTTTGAACATGACAAACACAGGATGGGAGAAGCAATACCTACCGGACAGATTTCTCTACACTTATTTACGTTTGTGTTGCGCTTGTGTTGTTATCATCTTCATCTGTCCTTCTTTGTGCGCGATTAAATGCTCTAGTGAAATTTGTATTTCGCGCGCTGCCGAAGCCACGCCGACAGAAAAGCGTGGTTGAGATCTGGTCCGCTAGATGCCGCAACAAGCCCTATTCAACGGATATCTGGAATGTAATTGCTGTTTCTAATAAACCACATCGATTGTGTTATTTAAATTCTATTTCTGACATGCATAATATTCACTATACCTGGGGCGCACATATTGCTATCACCATGGCCACCAATATTTTTTTCTTCGCGACCAATTATAGCACAAAAGCACCTGCGAGCCAATAATGACGCTGGAATTATATTACCGATATTGAAGGTAACTGCTAATGACGACGCATTTTAGGAACCAGATTCTGTATTTCACCTCTGATAATTGCATGCTTAGCCCCCTTCCCCCACCAATCTTACATACTTATTGGTTGCAAGTTTTCTTTATTTACCTGTTAATAATACTGCAAGTCTCATCTAGACCATATCAGGTGAGTGTGTAGTTACAAATGAATCCAAGTTTTATACAACGGCCATAAAGCAAATACATCAATTTTTCAACAACAAACAGATACAACAAACAGAAAATAAAATGCACTATTGAAAAAAAACTGAAATGCACTGAAGCTGAAATCTGCAGGACTAACATATCATTAAAAACATGTGATAAAAGTATGCAAGAAACTAAAATATAAAACTGAAAAAAAACAAGAAAACAAAAAATAAGATTAAAGTTTTGTTCAGAAAAGAAGTAGTTTAAACAAACGTCATTACAAATGAATTAGTTCGCTGCACACATAATTATTTGCGCAAAAAGCAACAGATAAGATGATGACAACATACGGCACAAAGCGCATACTACATCCAACTAACCTCTCTAAAATTGGTTCAGGGATGTGGAAGTGGTGAAAGTCATAATTACAAAAATGCTATTTTTCTGACTATTTAGGACATCTTCCAGCTACTCAATAAAATGTGAGTGTGATACGGCAATAGTTGTGAATGAATCTAGGCCATTCCACTCACGAACAACAAGTCAAAAAAAAAAACAGGAAGAAAACGGAGAGTTATTATTATTGCAAAAGAACTCCTTTAGAGAGCATGAATTATTATTTTTAAACAAAACTGCAGCTTTTCTAGGCCTGTTTCGTGCTCTGCCATCATATAAATTTAGTTTTTGTGGCGTATTCTGCTCATAATAGAATTATGTTGGTGGTGGTGCTGGTGTCAAAGCGGACATTTCCTAATGCAACCGCGGTGTTTTGCTAAATTAAGCATTGAACGACACCCCAATACTCTGGCTGTAAGCGGGTCTTGAATCAAGCCTACCGAAATTCTGAATGACTGTAGGTGCAGTGTGAATGGGCGTCCACTCACCATCCATGGCCAAATGTTCTCGGGCGTAGACGACAGCGCCTGCTGCTGCTGATGCTGTTGCTGCTGATGTTGCGGCTGGCGGTTGAGCTGCTGGCGCGGGAGCAGCGACAGCGCGTTGAGCGGCCGCCGCTTGCTCAGTCCAGGTCTTCGAACCCTGCGGGCGTCCAGAGAGTAGACGGGCTCACCGAAGAGTAGCCGCGCTGGTCGCACCCTTGACTCGGTCGCCTCAGGCCGCAATCCACAACTCCTGACTGGCAGCGGCCTTTTCTCTGCGGGGCCACGACGACGGAAGGGAAATTAAGGCCCACTGTATACCGGTGGCGATGCGTGATGGGGCCACTTAGCTCATCCGGAAACACGAATTGCAGAGCGGCGTGGTGAGGCGTCCGATTATATGCTTAGACTGCACCGGTCACGTGTTTATGCCTACTAAAGAAATGCGTCGGCATCGGAGAGATGGTTCTGCTGTGAAAAGTGGTTTCATCGCATGTTTCTGCCACGCTGAATTGAGTCAGTGTTTCTACCACGCTGAATTGTGTAGCGGCAAAAAGCGCTATGACTGTCCAATAGTCATACGCGCAGATTTCACATTTTTTCATATGTTCCGCAGCGCTGCTTCGCCGAAGGTGACGGCTTGTCGGGTGAAGAAACGCGTATTGTTTCTCTGAGTGCGAATTCAGCAGGTGTCACGTTGCAACATCTTTTTGGATTGAAATAATTCCTCCATAATGACTTTTGCTTCAAGCAGCTGGAATGGCTAAAAGCAAAATAGTGGCTACTTGAGCTGGATGGCATTGAATTTTTGAAAAAAAATATACATATACTTTCTTAGTGTACAGGGAACGTTTCAGAAGAAAGACAGATAGGAAAGAGCGGACACTCACAACCATTTTATTGCAGAAATCGCAGTCATATATTTACACAGTCAACAATCAACAATATCCCCGCCCTCTTGACTGTGTATATATTGCCACTATCTGTGCAATAAAATGGTTGTAAGTTTGCGCTGTTTCCTATCTGTCTTCTTTTTAAAACGTTGCCTGCACACTAAGAAAGTATATTGTTTTTCCAAAAATGGCTAAACGACCCCTGCAGTTCACCAGTATATCTAGGGCGCGTTCACACTAGGCCTCGAATAGTGCGACAGCGGCGAATCTCTCCAAAAACTGGCTCCACGCGCTGCGCAAACAGCCACGTGGAAAAAGAGCTCGCGTTTTTGGACGATCGCACTTTTTATAGGAGTTAGGTAACCGTTATAAGGCAAAGTCGGCGTTGGTAAGGTGGCGCTGATATACAGGATATTTCATCGATTTTGTTATTTTGGTTTGCCCTTTGGTCTTGTCGTATGTGCTTACGAAATGCTTTATCTGTCAGTATATATATTTACCAGCTTTCCGATTAAACTTTTAGTTCTAGGAAGTGCTTGTCTCTGTCTATTCTGTCCGCGTCTACGTATCGCGCTTTTATTTCAAACAATCATAAATCACCAACTTGCCCAATCAACAATTTTTACCGGAAAACTACGCCGCGCGGCCGGCACGCTATAAAATTGGTCCCAGACCAACTTTCCCGCGAAAGCGGATCCGGTTTCCACTTCAAGGCTTCGGCTGCGCTAGATCAAATCACGTGACCTAACCAGTCAGCGGCAAATTCAGCATGGTGGCAACGGTGTCGACGGGGGCTTGCAGTGACTCAAATCGCAAACTACCCGTGCAGTACGACCAATCTTTACGGCCTCAACGAGAATGCGTTCTTGGAGAGCCTAGATTGGATTACAATCGCCGAGAACTCTGGAATTACATGGTGTTGCAGCAGCGAGTCGGCATGCCCCAACGTGTCTCGCGTTTGTGTACAGCCATCTGAATCCACCCCCGCCGCTGCCAGTGCATTCGCTCGGGTCGTTTCTGCAGGCTTATCTTCAGAAACAAAGTTTCAAAAGGTGCCAGCTGTTTCTTTTCAGTTATTTGCGTGAGTAATTGGAATTCAGTACGAAATTTAGTGCACAAAAAGCAGGCAAAGTCGAATTAACTCAAGGTAGCCATGGCAGTGGCGGCGTCGGAGGCAGAACGAATGTGAACATTCTCGAAGCGCGGTAGTGGTTTTGCGCCACTCTGGCGATTTTGTTGTGGCTTCACTTCTCAAGTGCGAATGCGCCCCAAAGTTACACCTCCCTAATTAAGCGACAAGTAGAGCGAACCTTCTTCGCAGTCGCAGTCGTCACCCCCAGAGGTGTCGCGGCCACCCGAAGTTCCACCAGGTGGGGTATCGGGCAAGCCAGTGCCGTCCACAGAAGATAGCCCTGGCAACGGTGTCGGAGGATTCGGCTCTGGCAGAGGTGTGTTAACGGGTGGAGCCACAGGAGGTTCCACAGGAGGCTCTACGGGAGGCTCGATAGGAGGTTGCACAGGTGGCACAATGGGAGGCTCAACGGGAGGTTGTACAGGTGGCTCAACAGGAGGCTGTACAGGAGGCTCTACAGGAGGTCCTACGGGCGGAACCACGGGAGGTTCCACGGGAGACTCTGGTGATGGGAAAAAGAGAAGAGTAGACTTTGTTTGAAGCGAGGAGGGTGATACAGGGAGAATATTGCACCGACGACCATAAACCTGCCTGATGAAGACGCCCGTGAAAAAGAATCTTTATTTAGCGCGAGTGCGAGTCAATATGAGCGCCTTCCTTTTCACTTTCTTGTATGGCAGTTAACAAAAACAACAAAAATAACATACCTGTAACCATTTGCATGCGTTGTACGTTATGTACGTGGTATCAAACGCCGCAGAAGGAACGATAAACATAGCTCATCGGGTAGTAACAATTCTATTTGACATGCGCTACCTGGTTTGCATAATATTTCTTACTGAATCGTTGAACGGTTACGGGGTATGGCGTCTAGATCATTCACTACCAAACATGGAAGCGGAGAATAAACTCCCCGAAACATTTTAATTTACAATTTGAGACTGTGTTTACTGGTGGATAATGACGTCTCTCAGCACTGTGATCAAACACTGCAATCATTGTTTTGTCATTCGTAGAGCTGCTCTTGATCTTTTCGGCATCGTGTGATCACATTATCGATGCGAGAAGCGATGAATAAAGGAAACCATTCACACTCTACAAGTCGAAAGAAAAACTATGCGTTCTCTCGGAAAAATGAGCCTTCGAACACGTACGAGGTTCTGGAGTGACCGGAGGCAGCGAAGTCGGCTCCGTGCAGCAGACCAGCGAAACGGTTCCACGCCAGTCACAGATCGTGGGATGCTGACCACGGCGGATGTCCCTCTGTGCCTTGGGGCAGTTGTCCACAGTCACGCAGTACGGCTCGGTCGGCGCACACTTGCTGCCTTCGTCGGTTTCGAACACCACCTCACCTTGAGTGGGCATAATATGACAAGAATGAACGTCACGTTCAGGAAGCAACACAGGGGGGACATTAATCCTCGGCCGCAAAAATTGCATGTCTTATAAACATTTCAACATACGGTAAAATGCTTCATAACATCAGTACTGTCTGGTTTTGTCGCCTAGAAGAAAATGGCACCAGTGTTTCTACCAATGAGGTAGCATCGGAGGATGATAATGATAACTAGGCCTCTAACATGGCTCATACCCACTTAGGCGCATTTGCCAAAAAGAATACAATGTGGTTGTCATTTTATTCTTCTGATGGCACATACCCCCTTCGAGGAATGACCAAGATTTCGGTAAAGCTAAGAGGCGCATATACATTTTTCTAACTATTGTATCGCCCTAGCTCTGACGGATTGAACGAAAATCACGGAGATACGAATAAAATATTTGAAGTAGTTGCAAGAAATATATCGTTTATTACGAATGTCTTCATTAGAAAAACAAGAGTATGCTCAATGCAGCTCTCATTACCTATTTAGTTTTCTTCTATTTTCTCTCTTGTCTTCTTCGATCACTGCTTATGTAGGCTATCGTCTTTAGCTTCTTTTGAGAACACAGACTTTTTTCATCCGTTGAAAAAACTCCAACGTTTCCCTCCTTTCATGGGGAAAGTGAAAAAGTTTTAATCAAACATTACTTCGCAGAAAGCTGTTCTCTGGACTTGCACTTCAATACACAGCAGTGAAATGCGCTGCTGTCTCTTAGGATCGATGGTTTTGTAAGAAAGTACGTCATCTTCATGGAGCTGTTTCTTAGTTATGTAACCTCGACAGCTGGTCAAATTGAGTTCAATGAGAAGCGAAATAACCCAATGCGTAGGGAAGATGAAATGTGGGAGCCATACGTGGTGCCATCCCTTTATGAGCTTTGCGGAAAGCGCGAAGAACATGAGCACTTGAATATAGTACGATGGCTAATAGCCAGGTGACTGAGAGAAAGTTCAAGAAAATTTAGATGAAATTAGCAAGTTCCGATGCGTCCAAGAATCTCCAAGAAACCACGCCGCCATTCGAGTTAAGTCTTAAATGTTGTGGTGGTTGCAGACCAGAAACGGTAATTGAAGTGTTATACATAGGAGAAATGTGAGTTGGAGCACCGAAAAAAAAAGGTAAGCGTAAAAGTGTTCACCACAATAAATGCTCGACCGTAAAGTTATCACTAGCAATTCAATATGTTGCGTTCATGTTACCAAAACTCAAGTAATCACTTAAAAGGACCTTGATGCGGCTTTTTCAAAAGTTCTGTCAGCGTTTCGGCTGGAGCATCATCAAACCATTCGCAACACAAATTTAGCGACACGCCATGTACCAAGGCTGCTACAGACTGTGCTTCTCACGTCTGCCTGTACTCCTCAACTCATGACGCACGCTGGAAGCGCTGGAGATCGCAGAGCTCTCATGAGCGCCACTTGAAGATTTGAGCTTTTACCAGTCTAGACTTCCGAAATCCCACGCTGGCAGGTTGCGCGCAGTCTCGGAGGTCATCAGTCACATAGCGCGCCCGGCAGTCTGACAACATAGCTAAAGCGTGGAGTGGTTGAGATCTGCTCTAACAGGTGCCGCCACCTTAGCACCTTACTTCCGCGCATTCCTTACTTCCGCGCATTCTACAGCCCATGACAGCCAATCAGATCGGACGCTGCGGTGACGTGGCGGCTAACGTGCTCTGGGCAAGAGCATGTCCCTCTGTGAATGGGCGGTTGAAAACGCGTTTGGCGGAGTCACAACAATCTGCAGCGATTCTCAGTTTTCAAGCGCTCTAATAAATTACACAGTTTACGCAGAGAGCTCAAATTTGTCTGGATTAGCCCCTGAGACTTGGCCTACTGGCACAGTGTGTTTGTAAAAAATAAACTGAACCGTTTTCGGGTCACTTTAATGAAAAATTGAGTTCGGTGTCTGAGTTCGAGTTTCTTACAATAAATAGTGCGTGTTCTTAATGTCAGAAATGGTACACTCACATGAAGAAGAACATCGAGTATTCTTGCGCATTGTGTTATAAAAGATCAATATGTCAGAGGGAGAAAGAAACTTCTGAAGAGAACGATTAACAAACAAAAAATACCATGGTTAATCGAACTCGGTAGTCAAGAAAACAATAAACAGTAACGCTTAATTACGTTCTATCGTATTGTCGCTCTTTTTTATTTCAAAACGATTCCACGAGACGTAATACCTGGCTTAGAGCAGTAGAACAAGAAGAGTCCTTGCGGTGTAAGATTTTTTTCACGTATAATTCAGCATGGCCTTATTTTTTCTCGCCGTTAATGTAAGCGAGTTCTGGGTATCCGTTGCAACTTTTTTTTAGGGAACAATGGATATTGATAAAAAAAACAAGAAATCAGTGTGAGTGACTTATATCACCTGACCTATCGCGACACTTCCTGTAAAGTTTCATCTGAACGGAACGATGAGGAGAATTCGTTTCGAGCCCCTAAGTGATGATTGCTTACGTGCCCCTCTGCTCTACTTAAGAAAGAAAGATAGAAAGCAATGAGGTGAAAGTCGTGTCGGTGCATGCGGACAAACTAGAGGTGTCTTGTGGCGTGGTTAATTTTTAATTTCATTTATTTCTTGAGCATTCACTGAAGATGGAGTCATCATAATATACTTAAATAATTTCCTTTGCATTCAGGTAGTTTGTCGCGAAAAATGTGCTACGTGGTGTTCAAATGTGGTGATCATACAGTAGCGCTGACCCAATAAGAGGAAGGAAATGATCAATGATGACGGCCTGATAAGTTATGCGCTCTCAGATACAATTCACGCGCATCATCACCCGTTACGGGTCTTTTTTTTGCTTTATTGTTTGGGTGGTTCATATTTCAACCAGTGTTTTTACTCAGATGACTTTCGGAGCTTTGCAGAGCTTGCGATTATTTTTACCCGCATGTCTTTTCGAATCAAGTTAGAATTTCATTAAAGGCGAACAAAGTGTGCATGCCACTCAGCGGCATTAGCGATTTTTGCAGATAGTCTAATATTTCTCACGGTTCTTACTAAGCATGCAGTTCAGGAAAGGAATAATTTTCAAGTTATTCATACTTTCTTCCAACTTGTGAAGAAATAAACTATATGATAAACGAAGTTTATATTACGCTAAAAACAGCTCATAATGCTGGTAAAAATACGCTGCTCTTACTGATCATTGATGAGTTCCACCCATCGTCGTTGCAAATAATAATTGTACTTTGCTAGCAAGTGTTCCCGAAGAGGTAAGCAATGTGTGCAGCTTGCATTCCGACAAAAAAAGAGAGTCCTTACTTTCACACCCACTTTTTTTCATAAAGAAATACATATTTTGGGGGGATTTTCGAACAGTAACTGCACAGCAAGATCAAATACTTGTATCAAATAAATATGCCGGTAAATATTCTTCCCGTGTGGTTGCAGTAAGATCCAGATGACGCGTCTTGTCCAACTTGAAGAATAAACATATAAATATAAATGCAAATGCATATCTATGGAATAGGAATTCTATGGAAGAATGAACGAAGTGCCGTTGCGGCTTTTCAATTGATTTCCGAGGCAGCAACCTTGCTGTTTGCTGGCCTGATCTGGCCGGAAAACGACAATGATTGGTAGAAAATATTAGCAGCAACTAATATAATACAATATTTACTTGTCGAATTTGAGACAAATATGCTAATTTCTGGTGTTATACCCGCCAGAATTATTGAATAATTATGACGCGCATGTGCACCGTATTGCATGGCTCCAGAATAATTTTGACTAGCCTGGATTTCTGAACGCGCATTGAAATCAAAGCACATGTGTGTGTTATTGCATTTTGCAGCCATATAAACAAGGCTATCATGGTTGTCAATTGAACCCGACTCCTCGCGAGCTCACATTTCATGCACATCTACATTCATATTCATGCACAACTGAAGCCTGCATCGTTTCGCAATGCCCATTTGGCTCTCTATATATTTTCTAACGAGTATGAGAGGCTAGATAAACGTAAAGAAAAACGTTGGTCGTGATAGCCCTAGGTTACTATGCCTTTCATTTTGTTTTTCCACGAAATAAACGTGCTGGTTACTTCAGGGAGAGTAGTGGCAATTGCATAGCCTTCTTTTTCACAGCATTGAATTGGCGCATGATATCGGGAAAATGGAACCCACATCAAACGAGTCTGAGCACTCATTTTGCTTATATTGACACGCACTTGTGCGGCGAGCACTTATTTCACTCTAGAGTAGAAATGAAATCAATTTGTCGCGATGTATCAGTGGCTATGGTGCTTTGGTGCTGAACCGAAGGTCGAGGGTTCAATTTTGGCTGCAAACTTTGCGATGTCAGAACACCAAATTGTCTCAATTTCCGCAACTCTCCAGTGTGGCGTCTCTCGTAATCATATCGTGATCTTGAGACGTAAAATCCCACACATTATTATTATTATTATTATTATTATTATTATTATTAGAAGTAATAAAATCTGTCATCGTGTACGAATTCAATGGCCCTTACGAGGAAAATATCTCGTTTTCAACTTTCGATATGTCCTCGTAGTTCCACTGATACTCTATAAAATTACTCCTCCCCTTTTTACACAGTGATTCGCAGATAAGGTGGCGGGTCGACGAACTTCATTGCGCTTGCATTCTGCAAAACATGGTGACGTCCCTAACAGACAATGTCCGCACTCGACCGTGCAAATACAAACACGCGAAGACGAGGAAAAGCGTAAACAAGGACGTCTCAAAACTTCGTATCCCCCCCACCCCTCTTTTCTCGACCTCCCTCCCCGTTTCTGTGAACGCCTTTGCCGCTTCACGAATGAACAAACAAAGCCGCTTTCCGACTTATCCGTCCTTCCGTCGTCGCTCCGATGCCCTTAAACTGAGCGCTCTTCACTGGCGCTGTGTTCTGTCGTAAAGTGTACTCTTTTTTTTTTGTGGTCGCTACTTTTGTGCAGTGAAACGGCAGTCGCCGTTTGTTCGAGCCGCCGTAATTAG